TGACAACTTCTATTGTCGGAAACTAGTGGGATTCAGGACAATGGGTGTTTGATTCATAGTAGGGCCTAGTGATCCATGCTTTCCAGAGTCTTAGCCCACTGTTGTTACCTCAGAGGAGATGTTACTGCCTTCCAGGTGCAACTAATGGAATTAAAATCACCTTCTTATCATGTAGGTCTAAGGGAGTTCAGTTTTAATTAGAAAAACTGGCCCTATATTTGAACTACATTTAATTTCCAGCGGTCCGTTTGTTCTTAAAATGAGCCGTACAACTTTACTTTATAATTCTGATTTAGCATCAACTCTCCTGAAGAACAATTACGGGCCGTGTCTGAAACTCCCGCCCCAGACACACAAGCACGCGGTTTGATTGTCTAGAGCTTGTACTGGCATATGTTTTGATTGGCTGACGCTTCTGCCGAAGCTTCAAAAGTTGAACATTGCTACATTTTTGCAGCGAGCAACGCGTAGCGACGCTCCTACAATGCAGTTCAGCGAAGCGTGACGTCACCCCATTCAAAGTGAACGGGCAGAAGCGTTGAAGCTTCAACGCACGCCGCCGTGTGGACGAGCCATTACAACTTCAAGGACATTGTCTCAGGGTATTAATCACCATTTTTAAAGTCTTGAAATAAAAAAAGGTAAAGGGCTTTAAGCTGACACAACACGTTAATTTAAAGAATTGAAGCAACAGAGTATGGTCAAACTAATGACAAGCTCGGTGGAGAGAAACAGTGTGAGGGATTGAATTCACTTTAAGGGGAGACGCTAATGAGCCCATGGAGGCTGAGAAACACACTCACGTACAGGCTGGCTCCTCTCATTCATTGTTTAAACCTGCTAACACATTTAACACTTTCTAGAGTTGCCTCCGAGCCCTTCAATCCTGGAGGCAAACCAGCAGACACATGACCTGGTATTTTGCTCAGAAGGAAAGCATGCGCCTGTCTATGAGCTTTATAAATGAGAGACCTTTAAAAGGGGACTGCGCGGTATTTAGCATCGGCACTCAATATTTTCTGTTTGTCATCATATCAGCTCCATCAAATCTTCTAATGCTGTGTCAAGGCTCTGCCAGACGTCTCACAACAGAAGCACAACATCTGAATTGACAAAACACCAGAAGAAACTGCTGAAACACTGCAGCAGTTTTAAGTTGCTCTTTTTGTTCGTCTTCACACAGACTCTGTTGCAGTTGTCACTTCACTTCCTATCAGACAAGCTTTGTGCCGTCGACTTTGGTGCAAGTTCAGATATGAGTGTTAAGAGACAAGATGAGATATTGTTTCCTTCCAAAAAGAGTGCACTTGCTATCACTTGAATGATTGAGTACTACAAACAACAAAATGGCTTAAAGTGATGCAACAGTTCCGATTGCTTTGTGTTGGAGTGCCATTCTCAGTTAAAACCTGATTCTCTTCATTATATCATTGAAATAAAAAGCACTCTTTATTTTTTTAGGACTCTTCTGTAGATATAACAATGGGAAGCTCATTCAAATTAAATCTGGAAACTTGATTACCAGAAAATAATAGCACCTTTAATGTTGAGAGGCACGGTAGCTGATACTGATACCTCATTCTGTGCAATGCTACTTAACATGGTGTAATATTCGTTTTATATTAGCTTTCTTTGGTGCTGCTTTCATACTGGTAACGACTTTAGCCTTAATGGGAGGCTTATAAATAATTACACAAAGAGCATGTCACAACAATTACTGTAAGTCGACTGTAGGTATATCGCAGCAGCCATTGAAGCTGGACCTCTGCCCGGGTCAGTACTTACAATGGACTTACACTTGAATGGTTTATATATATATATTATTTGTAGTTAGTGAGTTACTGTGCCAACGCAAAGGCACAACAGCTAAGGGTTTCCTCTACCTCTGGGTGTAATTACCCATCAAACTACTCAGTTAATCCGGGGGGGGGTAATATTTGAGGTCAAACACGCAATTCAGTGAGTGATACAATTACTTGCATCATCAGGTTGTGGAGGATTACTTACGTTGATTGTCTAATTCAAATGGATGTCATCCTTCCTGGGCATGCAATGAATTATCAGCATTTATGGTAAACCTACCTTGCAGATACACCACATAAAAGAATGCTAAATTGGCGTATTTTAATAAAGCCCTTAAGCAACACTCATTTCTGAATTCCAATAAGCTTTTGCTCAATAAGAAGAAGGTTGAGAGGATCTTCACACGCTCCAGGCAACAGTTGATACAAATCGTGAATTCACAAAGACTAGATAAAAGCTAGTAGACGGAAAGTTCATGTATGGGCGAACTGATTGTTGTACTGTAGGAAATGCATCAATTGCATCGAGGAGGAAACATCCCCCATCTCCTCATTTCAGTTGCTCCCATCCCATGAAATATAAATCTCTTCAATCTGATTAACTGCTTTTGGATTTAGCTTATAGGGGCTGAATAAGCAGAGGAGCCGATAGACAACAAGCTGTGTCTCCTCAATAGAGATCTACTCTGCAAAGCGAGTTAGACTTCATGTGTTGTGTCTGGCACCTGTCAGTGGGTCTCCAGAAGCAGCAGGTTGGATAAATTAAACATGTTACGCTTCATTTGAGCAACTGGGTAGCTATTCCCTTGGGACTATCTGCTTCTCTAAAGTGAAAACCACAAAGAATAAAACATGGCACGCTGACACGAAAAAAAGAGGAAGCTAGAACCAAGAAAATTGGCTTATTTCACAATGTCAAGAAAAGGTCTATTGTCTTAACTCAGTCAAATATAATTCCACCCAAGACAATCCATAAACTGCTGATAAAACTATAGTGCCTTGACAGTTGCAAATCTTATAACGCAGCACTTCCACATGGAACCCTATATTTTATTGGCTCTTGAGGAGGGAAAAACAGGATTTTCAATGTATTTGTTTGTCTATCTATTCTGACCTAGGCCAAACAAAGCGAGACAGACGGGTGATTATGTTGTTTGCTCGCCCATGCAATGACGTGAATGAATATAAAGGGAATTTCTCAGAAAAGATGGAATCTTATATGTCATTTGTATGGTTTCTGTGTGACAGAAGAGAAGAGATGAAACACATTAGAAGCATAATTGCTTTGGTCAATAACGGCTGGTTGCCTGTTTTATATTCCATTATGGGAAGGATGGGCTCTGGGCCGTTTCATCACGGAGAGGTAAATAAAAGGACGGGGAGCCAGAAGAGACTCGTATCACAGGTAAATGAGTGCTTTATGAGGAAGATTAGCGCAAATCCCTCACACACAGTGAATCGGCGCATGTGGGGCAAGGGAGGCTTTTTGATGGAGGCTTGGCTACCTCCATCCTACACATTCCCCCGGCAATCGATCAAAGCCCCAAATCACAGCTGCACACACACAGAGGAAGGAGTAGGTGAGACAGAATGACAGCCGGAATTGGAAGCTATTGTATTGACAAATGTCGGCCTCATTTGACACGTAGCCACCCAATCAGACTCTTGGGATCCAAATATGCACATAAGGTGTATGCATATGTGCACACACACACTTTCTCCTTCACAACCACCCACAAACAATGCCCAGAGCACATATTGCAGGGAAAGTAGAGCATCTGTGGAATAGTTTTCTGTTGTATAAACAAGCTCTTGATTCTATCTTCAGTCAGAGCTGCTCATTAAACTCTATTAACCTGCAGAACTAATATCTGCAGGGAGAACTGGATGATACAAACACACCTGCTCCATTTAGTGGAATACATTTCTCATTCCTTCAATGAATATATAGCTCCTCCCCAGGCAGCTCCACCTTTCAGATACACACGCATACAGTATCGCACATCTACACACGCGCAAATCACCAAAACGCAGATGGTAAGTGCTCAACACTCATGAAGGTGAGAGGGGAAAGGAGAAGAGAACTAGAGAGCTAAGAAGTGGGTACAGGTGAAGAAGAGGCCAGAAGATGATGGAGAAAGAAGAGTAAAAGAGGGGGTGACTAAAGTGCTGCGTTTCTGTGGCATAGCCTTTTTAACATTCTATCATTAGGGCTGAGGTAGTTTACACAACCGGATGAGTGCAAATGTGAAAATGTAAGATAACTAAGACTATTTTGACATGCTATACATTTGTTTTTACATCTAGGGATTACAAGTACACTATTCATAAGGGATCTCAAATGTATCTTTAATTAAATTATAGATTTCAGAAATTAACTTTTCATTAGTAAGAAAAGAAAATGGAATTTCTACAGTTTGAAAAAAGTCATGTCATTTCCCATTTAATTCAAGAGTTTTTTCTGTATAGTATAACGTTGCAGGGAAAGGTAGTTTTTATTAGGTTACAGATAGAAAGTGAACAATTTAGTTTCAAATTCATGATACACAACTTACATTTTTAGTAGTGAAACATTAACTGTAGGTAATTTTAATTATAATTTCTTCCATTCAAACTTACATTCTAGATATTTTGCCATGAAATTATTCATCAAAAATCATTTGTTGATATTAACAATTACCATTACAGATGGCATCAGCAATTTGTGTAGTGCTGTAGCAAAGGTACACAACTGTAAAGACAATCTGCGTGGGGACCACACATCTCATTAATACAGCCCCATGTCACATCTGTATACCAAACACCATCTGTATTCACTCATTCAGACACACACACACGCACACACATAGCTTTACAGAGGGAGAGCAGAACAAATACACAGAACCAGAACAACTAGAATGTATTTATATTTAATTTAAAGTACGATCAAAATGACAATCCAATATGTCTGACAAAACATCTCCCATAACATACTTTCCCCAAGAGATCATCAGCTGAGCGACTGTAGTGTATTACACTAAAACACTGAGACGTACCAGTAGAGGAAGTATTAACATGTATTGCGTTACCAAAGCAACAAAAACAATCCCAACTGTGTCATCCAAGCCACTCGAGTGCCAATGCATTTATCATACTGTCTTGAATACAGAGTGAAGTGTAGTGAACAAAAGTGTGGAGCGTAGGTTGTTTGGTACGTACCGTTGGGGCTCTCCTCATCAATGGTCACGATGGTCGCAGGGGGGCCTGGCCGGGACAGCTTACACTCTGCATACGCAAAAATAAAAATAAAATTAACATCAAAGAGGCTGAATCCCTTTGTGCTCTATTTAAATCATTTACTTTGCAATCGCAACAGTACATAATGAGTTATGGCAGCTTATGAAAATGACTGAGTTGTGTAGAGTTACATGCATTCTAGAGGGAGGTATTCAACCTTTTACTACTTCATTTAATACTATAGTTTTTTTTTCTAAGTTAAGATTTAAAATTTGACACAAAGAATATCGCAAACATGTCAAATACAATGTATTGTTTGAGATGAACATTTTGGCTTGAGAAGAGGTTTCAACAAAAACAGAACACTATTTACAAAAAAAGAAGGGTTAAGTGGGGAAACTTTGTTTATCTTTTTTTCTTTCCCATATATTTATATACTTGCTGCACTTACTAATTGAATCATCATCATTTTATATAAATAATAATCAGTCATCAGTATCAGTCACATGGGATACTTTCAGCAAATGAGTTTATTATTATTAGAAAAATGTGCTGGCAATACTTTCCTACTTATAATAGAATAATACAATAGAATGTGTTACACACAATTGTACAGTATTAAGCGCTTTGAGCACCAGGAAAAGCGCTATATAAATGTAATGTATTATTATTATTATATAACCCAGAGCAATGCTAGCATTGGACCACAAAACTGACATAAAATTAATGACATTGTAAATATTTAATTGGTCTGAGGAAATAAACCTCAAAGTGTTTGTTTCGATGTCTTTCTGTCAGGCCATAAGCTGCCATTTTCCCACATCGTTTTACAGCGGGTGGCGTGTGTATGACTGCTACAACACGAACATAATCAGAAATGGACTGAGAGACTGACACCAGACAAACAGGGTGGACAAAGCATGATGCAACATTATAAGCGGTGCATTGAAGAGAGTGGAGGTCACAGCAGCTAGATGGTACGAGCACATGACACAGGTAATGGCATCTTGACAGACAGCACCAGATGGGACAGCATGGGGGGAGGAGAGGAGGAGGCATGAGGAAGGGTGGTGTCTAGTGTAGAGGAATAGGCGCTCTGCAGCTGATGTGAAGACACTTTAGGATTAAATGTCTTTCATCAGGGAAGAGAGAGGGGAAGATGCAGGTAGAGGGAAGCGGTGTAAGAGAATATAGGAATGTAATGAAACAAAAGAAAACAGACAACGGATGGTTGCCCTCTTACCCTCATACTGCCAGTCTGAAGGGGTCAAGGGTTAGTGGAGCCAGAGGGAAGCAGGACAGAAGTATGGAAGAAAAGAAAAGTATGAAACAATTGGTTGAGGAACAGCTCAAAAGATGTTAGGAAAGGAAAAAAAACATCATTTTAAGAAACAGAAATAGGGAGAGACAAGTTTCAGGAGGGATTTTCTGTAGACGCCTCCACTAGAGAAAATGGTGCATGTTAGTGAAACACATAGAGTTTTACAAATATGGCCAGCTGATCTCTTTTTGCTGCCAGTAGCTGCTGGCTGACATTATTTCAAAGGAGAGGCAGTGGGGTGCATAATAAATATGAATCAATTCAAAAACTGAAACACTTTTGCGTGGTAAATGAAGAAGTACCACTGCTTCTGGAAAAATAAAAAAGAGCATTTAAGAGCGTGGGCCTCTTTCTTAAATTGCTCTGCCAGCATTTTGACATATATTGAATCTCAAGCAGCTTGCTGTCAGGCGGTGTTCACTTACATTACATGTAATCAGAGATGGACAGAAAGAAAGACACATGGTCAATGACACCACACCAACAGGCAGAGCTCTAAGGTTTCACACCTGCCTTCTGTTGTCTGACTTCATAGTGCAACTACGCACCTGTTGCCAGTGGATAGTTTGCTTATTAAATATGCATGCTCCTGAGCCTTTACTAATGTGATGGTTTTAAAGTGCATTCTAATCAGATAAAATCCTTATGATGTAATGTTGCAGCTGTAAGAGAATATTTTCATCTGATCTGTTTATAGAGTCTCTTATGGTTCCTTAGAGTCTGTGATACTGCAAACATCTGCTTGTAGTCAGTCAGAGACTCCTCTGTAGGTTGAGGTCACAGGTCAAACGCTTCTCCTATGTTAGTGGGGGAGGGTTGACCTGGCAGCATCTCTTTGAGACAAGCAGACCATTGTCTCGCATCGGCTATTGATTATACGCGGGCTTTCTGGAAGCCCGCCTCTCCTCGTGTTGGTTAGATGTTTTGTGTCTTTTGGTTCAGAGATCGCTGGTGGAGCACTGGGCATGTGTGAAACTAAGATGATCTCCCGGCCGTTATTGTCTGTACTTTCTCCAATAAAACTCTCAGTGCTTTTGGCTAACAACGGTTCCAGACTCCTTCATTCTACCTCAACATTGCAACAACAGAAGTTTACCTTCACAGCAGCATATGTCCTTATGTCTGTTTCCAAAGTGCAGATACACATAGTGATTAGCAATTCAATTGCAATGAAAGACCGGAGGCTATAAACATAGAACATTTCATGCAAATTGTTGATTGCAAATGCATCCTATGTTTCTAGCTGGTGTCATGATGTAGACATTTTTTATGAAGAGTTTATGTATAGTTTAGCATAGATTTACATTAACAGTGCACCTGCCCTTTACTGTATATGACTGTGGTTATAAGGAGATCCAGGACAATAAGTCAGAAAACACAATCTTTTTCTAATCTAAAATCCTTGGGGAATAATTATCAACACATACTCATCATGTACTGCTAATTCCTCAGGATTACTTACTGCTTACTTCAGACTTCTATGAATGTATAGCAATTAGAGAATCTGTACCCATCTGCTGAAAAAAGTAGCAGGATGAGGGTTTCCTTTAATAGCGACAAAATGAACAGAGCAAGTGGGTCATACCTCACAATCGGAGACATAAACAACATCCAAATAAGTATGCAAATGTGCTCTGAGCGAAAAGTACTGTGAAGTAAAAAGGGAGTGCACATGTGTGCGTGGGGGAGTGTGTGGAATAAAAGTTACTTGCGCTCATTTTGAGAAGCTTTTTAAGGGATCATAGACAGTCTGTTTTGTTAGTTTTGCATGTGTTCAGGCGCGTATATGTGTGTGTTTGGGCGGGTGCACATATACGCACGTGTTTGTGTGCACGTAGCTTTTAGTGGTAGTTGAAGCAGTAGGAGAGAAAGATGTGTCTCTGCTTTGAAGACAAAAGGCGGAACCAAGCAGAGAAAGATAATTCTGCCTCCATTTGCAGTGCCAATGGGCCTATATTGCGATCAGAGCAAAACATATGTTGCACTGTGAGAGTGAGAAACACACATGCATGCATGTAAAAACGTACCCAAAGAATGGTCACTATCAAACTGAATTTATCCCCAACCTCTTGCCGATGTTTTTCTATTATAGATACTGTATGTTCTAATTATATTCTTTGTTAAGCTTCCCCTCATTAGGAAGCTTTTATTAAATAACAATTAACTTCCCTGTGTCTCTCTGGTTTCTGGCATTCAACAATGTCTAATCAAATCCCCCGTAGACCTCCACCCCCCCTGCTCATGAAGCACTCAAGATAATGTAGAATGAAACCTGCAGACCCTAGCATACATAAACATTAAACATACATGATTGCATTGGATGAATCCACTTATCTAGAATACTATGAATAATCCAAAAAAGCTACTGTACATCCTTGATTTAGGGTGAAAGAAGGGCACCAAGCTTTTCATGAAACACTATGAAAATATAGAGCATGTACACATGAAGATAAAAAGCAAAGCATGCATATTAACCCTTGTGTGGTGTTCATATTTTTGTTACTCAGCCAGTGTTCGTGGGTCGTGAGCCAAGGCCATTGAGTGGGATTTTGAAAAAATAATTAATCATATAATTTTTCTTTAGCTAAATAATGAAAACGGGTCCCACAGACCCGAACACCATACAAGGGTTGAATACATATTCTCAATTTACATTAGTAAATTATGTTTCTATCTATATTGAAATGGTTGTTTAAAATGTTAACCAGTTAGAAACAATGCAGAGGATGGGGGCTACATGAGAGATGCAGTTGATGCTCACACCTCAGTACATTTTTAACAAAGCTTTTCATCATGCTTGATTTTGTGTTTTTAACAGTACCCAGATATAAAAAGGCTTGTATGTGCATATTATTAACTTTATTTATTGAGTGTAATTGTATGATTTAAAAAGGGCTGGAGATTTTCTTATCAAAATAGATGTGTTCAAATATTTTATTGGAAAAAGCTGGAAATTGTTTTGATACATTATAACAACACCATAACAAATAGGAAGTTGTGATGGAAAATCCTGAGCCAGCAGATCAAATAAATAACATTTATTATAACTGAAGGAGTTTGACGTCAGTGCAAATGTATGACAGTGACATAAGAAAGACTATGGTCAACCGTTATATATTGAATGTACACATATAATAATAGTGTTCACAATTGTAATTTAATTTAAACTTATTTGTATCGCACAAAGCAGGAGCATTGTATACTAACATGGTTTGTTTACATTCTGCACCAAGTTGGCTCAAAATGAAAAAAAACAGTAGCTCCATTGATATGCTTATCCTTGAAGAAAATTACATTTTGTACTTCTGTATATTCCTCTGGATGTGTATGACTGCAGCGGCTCTCTCCCAGTCCTCAGCAGATACTCCAGATGCATTTCTACAACAAATGTATTTTTATGGCCTGATCTCTCTGTTCCAAATGAAATTACTATTGAAAAAGGGTAGGGTTGATTCAGGGATAGAGGCAAATCATAACAAATGCTGCATTCAATCACTAATCAGGGCACTGTACACTTAAACCTCATCCAAACACAATCAAAATCTTGACCTTGGGGTAAATCTTCTCACTAATCAACCCGACTCACAGTCGTAAAACTTCAGTCTGTGTTACTTGTGGAAGCAAGCTTTAATCAATTTGTGGAATGCTCCCGATTAACCAAATCGACATTTTTCCCTGAAACACCATGACATTTGAAATAAAGAATAATAGCTGAGCTAAATTTATAAGAGAGAGAAAATAAAAACTTGAAATGCTTGTTTAAAATGTTCCCTTATTAAAAGCGAGCAACACGTGGGGACTTTTATTTTACAACATTTCAAAGAAGTGAAAAAGACTGTATTTTGGGTAAGGCTGAGCGTGATGCTTCAAAACTTTGACCGTTTCCATGGTAATCTATGTACTTCTCCCTGGTCTCTTGCACAGACACGAGTTGAGTCTCGCATAAAACGCTCGTTTGAGGGGAGAGGGGTCGTTACAGGATGGCAGCCGAGAGAAAAGCGTGACCATAACGTGCTTTTAGGCTGTAATCGTAAAGCAAATCAAAATGCATAAAATGTGCGAAGCCCCGCTTTAGTGAAGCACTGGTGAAAGGAAAGAAAACAGTGACAATAAATGACAGCAAAACGCAGCATTGACTTTAACATTGAGATTAAATGAAACGATTGCAGAGTTAATGGGTCAATAAAATATGTTGTTTCTTTCTTTCAGAGGGGCAACGGCAGGGGAAACACTGTATATATTGTCCCAGTGTGTTAATAATGTAATAGTCAACTAGATGGTGTTTTTGAAAATGCAAAGGGTCTACTCCTTTGTTAGAGAAAATTAAAGCTTTCTTAAGCAAAACCAATGTGTATGTTTGTTTTTAGTCAGTGTGAATATGTTGAAGCAAATGCGGTGCAGGTATTGCAAGTTTCCCTTGTTTTCTATACAAAGCTTTTTATCATGCTTTTCAAATGAGATGCAAAACCTGCTAAGAAACTCTAAAGACGCTCATCGACTGCTGTATCACTGGAGTAACATGGTGGTGGCGGAATGTATTCTTCTCACTGACAATTAGTTTCAAAAGGCATTCTTTACCTGACATTCCATTCAAAAGCCTGTGCTTTCTTGTGACTTCTTCTGCAAAAGCACCTTCTTAGCAACCAATAAATCCAACTGCATCTCCCTGGGAGAATAGATCTTTAAAACACACACTTTAAAAAGGACAACTAACCTAACAAGCATCAAGGCTGATCTGTCTCAATACATCTGGCACACCTTCAAAACAAACCTAAGATCAGAGGCATCTTATTTAGATAACTATGAAGTGTATCATTTTACATGTACAAACGCCGATTGCCATCTGTAGTCCTGTGCAGCCACTCATGGGAAATTGTCAAAGACGGAGAGGGAGTGAAAGAGGAAACAGGCTGGGAGAGATTATTGAGAAAGGGCAA